CATACACATTTTGATACTTAACCTTGCCTTTCAGAGCCCCTGCTTTTGTGTCAGTTCCAACTTAAAATGACGCTTCATTGGGTTCTGGGCTGTAAAGGATTTGCTCTTCTTTTTCCTGCTCTGTGCTAATAGGATTGAACTCCCACCCTTTTGAACAGCAGGCCAGGACTTAATGTCCTACACTACCAGGATTCTTTCTAGACTCAATGGCACATAACAACAACAACAAGAAGCACATGAGAAAAGTTATGTTTTGCCCTATAGTCTATAAAATATAAATACTCTCAGCCAAGAGCCATCTTACTTCAGCAACTGACATCCCTAATGCCATAGCTTCTTGACTTTATAGAAATTCTCTGTCAAAATACTGTTCTAGTAATTTTTAAATAATCTTCAGCAAGATTTTATTGGCAAGAATGATGTGGCTATTCCTAAAATACTTTGGGCATGGTGCTAGGAGGGGCAATTCCTTGGAAAGGAGCATGATGTTAGGAAGAGAGGAGGGTTGGCAAAGGGGAGGAAGACCCTCAACCAGGTGGACTGACACAGTGACTGCCGCAGTGGGCTCTTGTGTGTCAGAAGTGTGAGGATGGTACAGGATAGAACAGGGTTCAGATCTTTTGTTTAGAGTTGACATGAGTCATACTCATCGTAACAGCACTTAATAACAATAAGTACAACAAGATTTTACTTCCATGTGATGTTACTGTTCAATAATGTCTACTCTCTTTTAGATCACCTTTTTTTGAATGGGAATAGATATAGATCAATTGCAGCTATTTGACCAGGTAGCTGTTGTATAAATTTCTTGACACATACTAGTGAGCACATCCAGGGTGCATGTGTTAGTTGAAACACCTCAACTGGTATTCAACTTCTAGGGACTTATTTTTGGTCTTCAGTGCAACTTGAACTTCTCCCTTCATTACCACTGTCTCTTGATCATATATGCTACTACTTCCTGAAAGCAGTATCAATCAATTATTTTTAGTATAATGACTCCGTATTCTTTCGATTTTATTTATGTTACCCATATTACTCAATATTTTGCCACAGAATTCTCCAATATTGCAACTAGAGATTTGAACTTGTTCTTCAGTTCTTTCAGCTTGAGAAATGCAGGTGCTCTTCACTTTTGGTTTTCTAACGCCAGCTTTTTTCACATTTCATTTTGATACTCTGCTTTGTCTTCTTGAGCTGTCTTTTGAAATACTCTGTTGAGCTCTTACTTCAGCATTTCTTTTCTTTTCTTTTGGCCTTTAAGCTCCAGTGCAAGTTTCAGAGTCTTTTCTGAAATCCATTCTGGCATTTACTTTTCTGTCTTTGTATTTACCTTTTGCTTTCTTCATGGATGGCATCCTTGATTGTCATTCTACAACTCATCTGTCTTCAGTCAATAATGTTCAATGTAGAAATTTGGGGATAGGTTCCTCCATTAGGAGCTCTTTGCCTCCCTGGCTACAGGGCCATCTCAGAGGCCAACGGGACAAGAGTGTTTGAGACACAAAGCAGGGGAAAGACTTTTTCAGCCAACAGGGCTAACTTGAGACCTCCTTGCATTTAAACAGTGTAACTTGGTGGCCCTGATCTCACACCACTCAAGAGACAAAGGAAGACATTAAGCTGAAGGACAGAAAGTGCAGGAGGTGAGACACTGTTGCTTAGAGTGGGCATTTTGGGGTGCTTGTTAGGAGACAAGACTGAAACTTCCCTTGGGATAGATCCTTTCATCTGGGGATCTTTGCCTCTGCAGTTGCAGGGCCATCTGAAGGGCCAAACAGGACAAGAGCGTTTGGGACACAGATCCACAAGCAGGGGAAAGACTTTCTCAGCTTTCTCAACTGACATGTTGAGCTACAAACAAGAGAGCTGACGTGAACCCCCCTAGAGAGAAACTGTTTGAGTGGAGCTCCTGATGTCATACAACTTGGCCACTCCAAGGATGAAAAAGGACAAGAGTTTGGGACATGGGTCTATGTTGTGGCAAGATTACTGCACAGAACAGAGAGAACCTGAAAGACTTCAGGCAAGGCAAATTTTCCCAGAAAAGGCTTTCAAGAGAGTGCCTCACCCTATAGATTGAATATTTTAACCTGACAACTCATCAATAATAAAATAAAGGTAAGAATTACCAATAACTTAACACAGACACAACAGAAACAACCTAGTACTTATCAAGAAAAACTTCACATAATGTCTAAAGCAAGGCAGCTTCAAACACTGTGAGAAAACAAATTAAGTTGTCTCAAAAAAAGCAGAGATCAGCCATTTTGGGTTTTTTCAATTTTTTAATTTTTTTTATTATTTTACCTCTTTTTAAAAATTTATTTATTTTTCATTTCAATGAACATCTACAGAGATTTTGGAATTCCATTCATTAATTGTTGCACCCTTCTCCCCGCCCCCCCTCCTACTCCGTTTGCTCCTCTCCTTGAAAAGCAACAGAAAAACCTCCCCCATTGGTACACAATCTCCCCCGCACCTCCCCCAACCCCACCCCCAACCCCAAATATAATCCACTCTGCAACCCTCATTGTGTACTCCTACGATAAACAAAATTATGCTGAGTGAAATATATCAGTCACAAAAGGACAAATACTGCATAGTGCCACTGATGTAAAGATATCCAAAAATCAGTGGAATTTCTATATAGTAACAAAGAGAACTCTGAGAAGGAAACCAAGAAAGCAATACTATTTACAATAGCCAATCACAAACTGAGATACTTGGAAGTGAACCTAACCAGAGACACCAAAGACCAATACAAAGAAAACTACAGAACATTTCTATGAGACACAATGAAAGAATAAATAAATGGAAAAATATTCCGTTCATGGATATGAAGACTCAATATTGTAAAAATGACAATCCTATCAAAAGCAATCTACATGTTCAATCCAATTCCAATCGAGATACCAAATTCACTTTTCAAGGAGATAAAGGGAAATTGTTGAGTTTATTTGAAGAAAGACACCCCAAATATGCAAAGCAATTCTGAAAAATAAAAATGAAGTTGAAGGCATAGCACATCTGACTTCAAATTCACTACACAGTGGTAGTAACCAAAACAGCATAGTACTGGTCCAACAACAGGCACACAGACAAATGAATGGAATCAAGAACTCAGAAATGGACCTCTCTATCTATGGTCAACTGATATTAGAAAAGGAAATAACACCTATCAAATGGGAAATGACAACCTCTTTAACAAATGGTGCTGGAAAAACTGGACTTTAATCTGCAGAAAGTTGAAACAGGATCCACATCTCAAACCATACAAAAAAATCAACGCAAGGTGGATCAGAGTCCTCGAATAAACCCCACAATCATAAAGTTCATAAAAGAAAAACTGAAATCAAGCTTAGAAGGCCTACTCTATGGCATAAGGAGACTGCCAAATATAACCAGAGATGCACAATCTGGAGAGGAGAAAAATGATGAATGGAACCTTCTAAAGATTAAATCTGTGCTCATAAAAAACTTCACCTGTTGTTGTTGTTCTTAAGTGCCACTGAGTCGAGTATGACTCACAGCGACTCTATGAACAAAAGATCTGAACCCAGTCCTGTCCTGCACCAACCTCACACCTCCTGACACACAAGAGCCCATTGTAGCAGTAACCATGTCAGTCCACCTGTTTGAGAATCTTCCTTCTCCCTTGTCGACCTTCTACCCTTCCCAACATCATATCCCTCTCCCAGGAATAATACCTCCTAGCAATATGTCCAAAGTAGGTGAGGCAAAGTCTCATCATTCTTGCCTCCAAAGAGGACTCTGGCTGCACCCACTCCAAGACATATCTAGATGTTTTCTTGGCCGCCCATGGGATGTTCAGGCTCTTCTCCAAAATCACAGATCAAAGGCATCAATTCTTTTTTTTTGTCATCCTTATTCACTGTCCAGGTCTTGGATGCATAGCTAGTAACTGCAAAGAGGATGGCCTGAAACAGACACAATTTAATCCTCAAACAGACATCACTATTCCTCTATAATCTGGAAAGGTTCCTAACTGCAGATTTTCCTAGTGCATTGCATCTCCTTATTTCCTGATTGCTTGTACCAGGGGTATTAATTGTGGATCCAAGCAAGATGAAGCTGTTGACAGTTTCCATCTCCTCTTCATCTACCATAACACTGTCTATTGTTCCAGTGGTAAGAGTCTTTTTTTTCTTGATACTGAGACACAATCCATACTGAAGGCTTGGGTGGGAAGCCTCTGTGTGGGCAAACAGGATCTGGTGGGCAGGTCTTTGTATTTAAAAGTCAGCTTGCTATTGATTGTGTTTGGAGAGAATATTGATCTAAGTGGTGCAGCTCTTATCTGTCAGTTTGCTATACTGTGATTACTTGGGGTTTCTGTGATTCTAAAATCTTTGCCACTGGTGTGTCAAATTCCAAAAGGGTTTCCCATCGTGAATGGGTTTTGATGAAGTTCTCTGATTGAGACAGACTACAAAAAAGGATGGGCCATCTAATTTCCTAATTAAAGGCTTCTGAAAACCCTATGAATACTAAATAGTAAAAGAAAACCTACTGACTTGGAAAAATCATTTGGCAATGCCATCTTAGACAAGGTTCTCATAACAAAAGT